AGTTTTATTTCAACATGTTTATGTACATTTATTTGATGGTACAAATTGACAACTTCGTTTATGACTTTAATTTAATTACGTGTAAATTGGTTAGAGATTCTGTATTAGTTATCATTTAGAGTTTCTGGAGTTTAATAAATAAATAATATTGCCATACTTATGGAGACAATTAATTATTAGAATAATTTTTATCGTATCCGAAATATTAAAAATGGAGGAGATGAACATTAGTTCATTTAAGTGAGTCATTAATTCATCAACGTGAGATAGTTCTTTTATTAGTAATTTCACACTATCATCATTTGGTGAAGAAAAATTATTATATCACTACGTGTATTATTTTTCTCTCAATTAGTTTAAAGGAAAAAATTAATTAAAAAATAATATACAAAAAATAAAAAAAGAAAATGTGAGCAGAGAAAAGTATAATAATAAAACAAAATAGTGCAGAATGGAAAGATGAAGATAATAAAAAAAGAAGAGGAATAGATCATTAAAAAGAAAGTAAGAATAAAATAAATAAACATTTAAAACAAAAACAGAAGAAACAAAAGATGAAAAGTTATAAAGAGCAAAAAATAAAGAAAAGGTAAAAATAAAAAAGGGGAAAACAAAACTTAGCCAAAAAATTATTTAAATAAAAAAGAAGAAAAACATTTTTGTTAGATAAAAACAACAAATAAAAATAAAAGTAAGAAGAAGAAGAAACAGAATGTAAAGAAAAAAAAAAAAAAAAAAAGAAGTAAAAACTACAAAAAAAATAATAACGTGCAAAAAATAAATAGAAGAAAATTAGAAAAAGAAATATTTTGTTAGACAAAAATCAAATAAAAATAAAATAAAAGTAAGAAGAAACAGAATGTTAAAAATAAATAAAAAATGAATGAAAGTAAAAACTACAAAAAGTAACGTGCAAAAAAAAAAATAGAAGAAAAATAAGAAAAAAGAAAAATTTCAAGAAATTGGTTTCAACCTCTTTAACATTTTCTTTTTCTAAAATTAATCCTAAATCCCGTAGAAGTTTACCTTCTATTATAATTCAAATATCGACTCCCACTAAAACGACAATACTAAAATTCTCCGGACTCTAAAAAATCTAAACAAGATAGTTATAATAAATCAAAGAAGGTGGGACATAAGTAAATGTATAGCTGATAAGTATACTATATCCAAAAACTAAGTCAAGCCAAGATATAAGTCAATGAAGCAACTGTGCTAGAAACACGGGACTCGAGGGGTGCCTTACACCTTCCCCTTGGTCAATAGAATTTCTTATCCATATTTCTAGTTCGCAGACCATTAAAAATTAGAGTCAACTTCTTTTTGATTAGGGGTAAAAATTAGGTGACTTGGAACACCAAAACTCGATTCCAAGTGGCGACTCTGAAATAAAAATAATCTCTTTTCAAAATGTCACTTTAATTGGAGAAACTCTATTTTTCAAACCCTTCGTTTGGGGAAAAATAGGGGTGTGACAGAATCTCTTCGATTTAACATACAAAGAAAGAAAGAATAAGAAGAAGTAACCAAGGTAGGTTCAAATCTAATGAAAACAACATTTTGCGATTTCTATCATAAGATGCGAATTACTGCAAGATACAAGACTAGACAGACCAAAATATTACCAAAACAACACTAGATCATTTCGAGTCATAGATTGCTAACCCCGAAGAACATGTTCAACATTAAAATCAAAGCAGATAGAAAGAGGAATTGAAACTCAAACGAACAAGAGAGACAACGAGCATTAAGGAAAGAAAAATAAGTTAGGACATAACCACCAAGAATAAGATTAGATCTAAACGAAACAAAGGCACATTTTCGAAGTGAAACTAAGAAGATTCATAGACTTAGAATTCATTTTAAAACAACAATTGTTGTTATGGACTTGAAATTGTACCAAAATAGGTTACTAACAAATTAAAACTTGAACAAATATCAACTATGAAGAACATGAGCAATAGACAGAACCATCAGACCAAAGGAAAAACTAGAAAAAATATAACTTTGAAAACAACTCTTAACAGAGAACTTGAACTAATATATTTGACATTTCTATAAATAAAATGTGTAAACACGAATCCAGATGCTTATTGTTTACGAGAACAAATGCAAGGAACTAAAACCAAGGTAAACAATAACCTTTAGAACTAATCTCAAATGAGCAACACAAATAGAACACCAAAGGAACCAACAAAATATTAACAGTAAGAACAAGGAAAACATTATTAGCTACTAAAATGTCAAACCAAAGTCTAACACATGAAAACTAAAGAGAAGCTAAGAACACGTAAATAGAGAACATAGAAGAGCTGGGATTTAAACAAAGTCAAGAGGATTTACCTCTTTCTGGGCAGCGAACAGAGAACAACAAGCGGAGAAGCAACTTCCCACGACTACGACGAGATTCTGAGAAATCCGGCGAGTCTCAACAAACCACGAACACAAAGAAGAACAGAGCTCTATCCTAGGTGTATTCGAATGTATTCACTCTATATCTCTCGCTACCGTTCTTTTTCTATCTATGAATCCTTGCCAACTTTTCCAACTTTTTTCCCTCCCCAAATACTGAAAATGAAAAGAGTTTATATAGAGGGGGAGCTAGGGCAGATTTGGGGGGGAAAGACGAGGGTGATTTGGATTGAATTTTCAATTCGAAATTTCAAATCCCTTTTTTGATAAGGAGTAAAAAACTAGCTGGAATAATACAAAAAATCATCAATTGGTAAGAAATTGCAACGGCTAAGCAATGAGGGTCGTTCGATCTAGACGCCAGTACGAGTGAATCGTTGATCTCTTTCCACCTAGCACTGGAACTTTGTACGAATTGTCGATAGGGCGAGGAAGACGACGAGAAAATAGTACTGGGTACGTCGTACGCGTCTGCCGATTAACGCCGTGTAATCTCCGTCTCATCGTCGTTCGCTTCCGTCTTCACGTTGTACCCTTTTTCACTGTAAAGTGACGCTGCTTCTGGAAAGTTAACGTTGTAGGAATATATTGCTGGGTTCTTTTTGATTAACAGAGATGGGTTGGGTTATGTATTGGATTTGCTGGTGGATCTTTGGCTGATGGTTTTTTTTTTTTTTTTGAATTGGAATTGTGGGCTGCTAAACAAGGGCCCAACATTTGGTCTCCAAATGGGGTTAAGGTGAGGTCAAAATGGGTTAGATCTTGGAGTTTAAGATAGTCAAATTGAGTTAAATTTACAAATTCGGCTAAATCCTAAATAAGACAAATTAACATTAATTAATTAACGAGCTTCTTAATCTTAACGAAATAAAATAATTAACTTAATTGCAAATTAATGATTAAGAATCATAACCATAATTTAAACTAAACTAATTTAATAAAATACTTACTAAAATTAAAATCTTTTTGAGATGATTTTCGAAATATTTATAAAATATACTAATTATATACAAAATTATATAAAACATATATATTACTTAAAAATTATAAAAATGATAAAATTAATTAAAAGTAACTTGAAAGACATTTTAAAATTTTATAAAGTCAATTATTTCAAATCTTTGGAAATTAAAGAAGCTCGTTGATTAATCTATAACGTGGAGGGCCAAAATTGGGTGTCAACAGGGATAAGGATAGAAAGTAGATTAGTGTACCAGGGAACATATAAATAATCAGTCTCAACAGTCCTGAAAGTAAACAAGTAAATTATAATTTTGTTTTGTTAATTTTTTTGGCGAAGATCCAAAGTAGTCTTTGAAGAAATTTGCGACTTTCACAGAAATCAAGGATGAAATTTCTCACAAAAAAGAAGATACAATAACTAATATGATTTGTCTAGTTTTTATAGATAGTTCCTGAAGAGACGCAAATGAAGAGATACAACAGTCTGAATGAACACAAAAGTTGGAAAAAATAATAATTTAAAGATAAAAATAAAATAGGGGTGAATAAACTAAAGTACAAAAAAAAAAACATAAAAATAAATTCGTAAATTCTAAGGGTACCACGTAGGCGGGCCTATGATTCTTTTATATATATATATATTAGGTATTCAATTAAAACATTTACTCCATTCTCGACTTTTATAAGGGGTAATCAAATTTTAAACTAAAATGAACTGATATTTATTATTTATTTGTCAATACTTTTAAAAAATAAAATTTAAAAATTTGTTTATTGTCTCAATAACAATTTCTTTTAGGTATTCAATTGAAATATTTACTTCATTCTTGAATTTTATAAAAGTAATCAAATTTTAAATTAAAATGAAATAATATTTATTTTTTATTTGTTAATTATATATATAAAAGAACCTTAAGTCCGTCTACGTGGCGCCGCCACCACAAACCAGAAGTCCCATTTAATTTATTTATTTACAAAACTAGCCTTCTCCTTTCATGAAAAGTTGTGAAATTTATAAAAAATTGTGACTTTTATGAAAATTTGCGATTTTAATGAAGAATTGCGACTTTTATGAAAAATTGTGAATTTTATGAAAGGTTGTGACCTTTTCCGAAGAGTTGCAACTTTTCCAAATAGTTATAACCTTTCCGATAAGGCACAATTAAATATTTGTGTACTTTACTCATGTTGAATGACTCAGTGACACAATTGCATATGTTATAGATCTTGGTATGTATTTTTATAATCATTAATTTATGGTTATGTTACTAAGGAAAAATGATAAGATGTAATAATTTTCATTTTCCTTAATATTATAAATGTCTTGTATGTAAGATAATAGTGTTTTAGTTTTAATGAATGATAGGTTTTAAAAATTATTTTATAAATTTCATGATATTAAATTTTCACGCGAAGCGTATGTAATTTTACTAGTATTTTTTAAAATTAAAATATTAAAAAGCGTTAGATGGCCCAAAAGTGGCTATTTGTCGAAATCTACCATTTAGATGGAGCCTAGGAGCTGGGAAAGTGAGCGGAACAGAAGATCCTTACTCATCCGCAAAGCTAATTTCGTTCGTTCCGGGTTCTTCTTCTCCTCTCTTCGAGTGCAATTAGTGGTTTGCTTAGAGTAGGGCTATGCTCCGGCACCGGATTTTCTAGGGATTCCTTTTCTTCGCCTAACATTTTGCCCCAACCCTAAATTTTCCACCGTCAAGATAGTAGCCGGAACTGCGGTATCAATTTTTCTTTCCTCTGTGTTAATTACTAACACATACTCCATGTTTTAGGCCATAAGGACACAGTACGCCTGCGATTCTATGCATATATGTAAGGTGTAACTGGAAAGCGAACTTCTCGTCTCCCTAAGGAAGATGGATAATGAGGTAATCGAGTTTGATATAGGCTTAGGAGGTGGAGGTGGGAGCGAGGACGGGGATGGAGATGATGTTCTTGACGAGGAGAATGTCGCCAACTGTTCTCCTGTTATTGATGGAAATGTTGCAACAGTTCGAAGTTACTCTCCTCAAGGGGACCTCGATCTTGAACCATATGAGGGCATGGAATTTGAATCTGAGGAGGCTGCCAAGGCGTTTTATAACTCCTACGCACGCCGTGTTGGCTTCAGCACCCGCGTCAGCTCCTCCCGTCGGTCCAGGAAGGATGGAGCCATCATTCAAAGGTCGTTTGTCTGTGCCAAAGAAGGATTCCGCAATTTGAATGAGAAACGTACCAAAGATAGAGAAATTAAGCGACCACGTACTGTCACCCGGGTTGGCTGCAAGGCCGCTCTCTCTGTCAAGATACAGGACTCTGGTATGTGGGTGGTCTCTAACTTTGTCAAGGAGCACAATCACGAGCTGGTTCCCCCTGATCAGGTCCACTGTCTCCGCTCCCATCGTCAAATTTCTGGTCCTGCCAAAACCCTAATAGATACCTTGCAGGCAGCTGGTATGGGTCCCCGCAGGATTATGTCTGCCCTCATTAAAGAGTATGGTGGTATTAGCAAAGTTGGTTTCACAGAGGTAGATTGTCGTAATTACATGCGGAACAACCGCCAAAGGAGCTTGGAAGGAGACATACAGCTCCTCTTAGACTACCTGAAACAAATGAATATCCAGAACCCTGGATTCTTCTATGCAGTTCAGGGTGATGAGGACCAGTGCACAGGGAATGTCTTCTGGGCGGACTCTAAGGCAAGAGCAAATTATAACTATTTTGGTGATACTGTTACATTTGATACAACTTATAGGTCAAATAGGTACCGGTTACCCTTTGCACCCTTTACTGGAGTAAATCATCATGGACAACCTGTTCTCTTTGGATGTGCTTTCCTAATAAATGAATCAGAAGCCTCATTCATATGGCTTTTTAAGACATGGCTTGCAGCTATGTCTGGTCAACCTCCCTTGTCAATGACAACAGACCATGATGCTGTAATTAGGTCTGCCATCATACAGGTTTTCCCTGAGACCCGTCACCGTTTCTGCAAATGGCACATCTTCAAGAAATGCCAGGAAAAGTTGTCACATGTCTTCCTTGAGCACCCAAATTTTGAAGCAAACTTCCACAAATGTGTCAATTTGACAGAGTCTACTGAGGAATTCGAATCCTGTTGGCTTTCTCTTGTTGACAAGTATGAGCTCAGGGATCATGACTGGCTTCAAGTGATATACTTAGATCGCAGACAATGGGTGCAAGTATATCTCCGTGATGCTTTTTTTGCAGAAATGTCCATAACTCAGCGTAGTGATAGCATGAACTCATATTTTGATGGTTATGTGAATGCGTCAACTAATCTAAATCAGTTCTTCAAATTGTATGAGAAAGCTGTGGAGAGCCGTACTGAGAAAGAAGTCAAAGCTGATTATGATACGATGAATACATTTCCAGTTTTGAAGACCCCTTCTCCAATGGAGAAGCAAGCATCCGAGGTTTACACGAAAAAGTTATTTATGAGATTTCAGGAGGAGTTGGTTGCCACTCTAACTTTCATGGCGAACAAAGTTGAGGATGATGGACTAGTTACCACTTATCAAGTTGCTAAATTTGGGGATGACCACAGTGCTTACTATGTAAGATTTAATGTTTTAGAAATGAAAGCTACTTGTAGCTGCCAGATGTTTGAGTTCTCAGGACTTCTTTGTCGACACGTTTTAGCAGTGTTCAGAGTGACAAATGTTCTGACTCTTCCTTCTCATTACATCCTCAAACGATGGAGCCGAAGTGCAAAGAGCAGTGTTGCATTGGAAGACCGTGTTGCTGATGTAATCAATTATTATTTGGAATCACATACTGTTCGATATAATATGCTGAGACATGAAGCGTTTAAGTTTGTGGAGGAAGGGGGAGAGACTGTTGATTCTTATACTGTGGCAATGGCTGCTCTGGAGGAGGCTTCAAAGAAGATTTTCCTAGCAGTAAAGCATGAAGGGAGGATATCTTTAGTAAATGGACATTGTCGAGAAAACTTGACTAGAAATGGGGTCCATGCAAATTACAACAGTGAGGATGAACAAAGAAGTCTCGCATGTCCACTCTCTGAGGTTAGTCATTTTTAAATTTTTGTTGAACTACCAGTCACATGGTTCTCTCTTTTGGCTGCATTTCTCATGTCTACGTACTTTTTCCTTAACCTTAAATTATTTAATGAGGTAATGTGATAAATTTGTCTGGACTCAAAGAAATACAATATGCTTTGAGGACAATGCTTCTTCTATCCAGAAGATAAATCTAATTGTATGATTTTGTTTTCTAGAGATGTTAAGAGTCCCTACAAGTCTACAACATTAGATGAGATATTCTTTCGCTAATGCACTTTTTTGCTGCATCTGTGCAGATTAACAACACATCCTTATTGCTATTTTATTTACAAGATTTCTTTACCTTCACAAAAGAAAAGGAAAAAGAAACTGAAAGATAAAGTTATCTGTAACTTCCTCAAAGAATCTGGAGATGACATAAATCACCTCCTATTACATTGTCGGTTAGCATCCACTTTTTGGGGGTGGGGGGATTCTGAGATGGCTTGGAGTTGAGTGGGTGATGCTGCACAATGTGAAAGACTTAATGGCAAGTCTTGACATTAAAGACTTATCAGTTTTCAACAAAGCTTTGCTGGGCAAATGGCTTTGGCAATTCGGGATGTAGGTTCAAGCTTTTTGGAGAGAGGTGATAGTTGATAAATATGGGTTTATAAAAGTGGGATGGAGAGCTAGAGTTGTCCATATGCCTATTGGGTGTGGCTTGTGGAGGAATATATTGAAGGGATGAGATGACTTAGTGCTAACATATCATTCAAGGTAGGAAATGGAAGGATGGTTAGTTTCTGGGGATAAAGGTGGTGTGGGGAGATATTACTGAAAGATAATTTTCAGATTTTGTTCAGAATATCACGTCAATGAAACTTGACGGTACATCTAAAAGGGGGACACAAGGAAGACAACTTTTGGGATTTGAGATTTAGAAGGGATTTCCATGATTGGGAGGTAAATGAGTTCCAAAGTTTGATTGCCCTACTTCATAGGCTAGTTACTCCGGTTAATAATCGTGATGCTTTGTGGTGGGATTTTGGGAATAATAGAGTTTTCTTTGTTAAATCTTCTTATGAGAAACTTTTGATTAGGGAGGAGGTGATTTTTGTACAATGCAGTATGGACTCCACAGGTGCCGAGGATGTGTGCCTTTTCTCTTGGCTAGTTACTAGCGGGGTGATCTTGACAACGGAAAAATTTGAGAAAGCGGAAGATTGTTTGCATCACTTGGTGTTTCATGTGCAAGGAAGAGGGTGAGGACATCAATTATCTTATTCTCCATTGTGATTTTACCATGAGGTTATGGTGGGATATGTTTAAGAGGTTTAACCTCTTGGTTAATGCCAAAAATGGTGAAAAAATTGATGTTTTGTTGGTGGAGCAGGAGAAGACGTAGGGCATGTAACATGATTCCTCTTGTGTTGATGTGAGTTGTTTGGATAGAGAATTAGAAGAACTTCTAAGGGGGTAGAATCGAGTTTTACTAAGCTTAGGAGTAGTCTCCAGTCACTTAATTTTCTTTGGTGCACCCATAGAAACTGGGTAGGAATAGAAGTCAAAGTTGTTGGATAGAAACATGGTTTTACATATTCTATTTGGTGCATTGAGGGATCTGTTTTCATACCTCAGTATCAACATCTATTGGTTGTTATAATTTGGTCAAACAATCTGAAACAATTCTTTGCACTCTCCCCAGTTGTAGGCATTGAATTTGGTCTAATGGGGAATCATGACTATCTGCACTTCTATCTTGTAAGCGGGAGTTCCGACTCCCTAACTTGTGATTCCCTCCCTATTCTTCTTCCTTTTCTCCTATGTATAATTTAAATTTTGAACTTTCGAGCTGCAAAGAAACTTTTGCATGTCTGTTACAGAATTGATATTGTTGATGGAAGGTTTGGTTATTTTATGTGATCTTTGGTTATTTAGACTGATAAATTATATGCATATTACTGTAGGATGACATGGATACGAAGATCCAGGAGCTTTCTTATCAACTGGATTGTGCCAATCAGAATTGTGAAGTTTATCGTGCAAATCTTTATTCAGTTTTGAAGGATATAGATGACCAGAAGCAACAACTATCAATTAATGTCCAAAGTATTAAGCTTAGCTTGAAGGATGGTCTCTGAATTTCTCCTGTTGTGGTACATGTTCCATAATGCTGTACATAGTTGGTCCTTCAATTTTTATTGTACACAAAAATCTCCTAGGTTGCTTTTTATGGAAATCTCCATGAGCTCATTTGGCAGGTGTAGCCTGTTGTGTTCTGTTCAATATCCTTAAAAGTTGTCAGCTGTTTGTTCTTAACCTAGTAACACGGTTTATCAATACCATTTGACATAAATAATGGTTTTATTGTTAAAATCTACATGCAAGGATAGTTTGATGCAGTTCGATTGTTGAAAAGATGGTGTGCAGGTCACCCTGTTTTTATTTATTTGAGAAGACCCATAAAGCATGTGTATCGTTGTTTTGTTACCCATTAATTGAGGGACTTCTCATCTTATCTAGAATTCATGGCAACTTTCCTTTCAGCCGTGTACTTCTTGCTGGAATTAGCTTCAGCGAGTTACACACCCATATAAAGATTCAGCTACAGATAATCATTGCAAGTCCTCTTGACCTGTGTAAGTTGTCCAACATCCGGATGGGCTCTACATTGGCAGCTTTCTGCATTTTTTCAACTACTTTATTATGGATCAAAGAGAAGTGCTCACCCTATACGGCTATAGTTGGTGTTCACATACTGCTAACAAGGCGGAGGGTCTGCAGGAGTTGGAAGTCAGGGAAGGGAAAAAAGCAGGGCAGTAGGATCTAATCTTCAACGGCTTCAAAAATACAAGCTTTAGTGCAGAGTAGAAACAAATATATGAACTGCAAGACTTAAACTGTTACTGCATTTACTTGGACATAATAGTTAAGCTGTCAATATGGGTCAGGCCTGTTGGGCCGACCTGACCTAACCCGTGATTTGGTAGGGTTAGACTACGATTTTTGGTGCCCATATAAGAAATGAGTTTTTTAGCCCGGCCTGAATAAGCATGTCGATTTGTGGGGCTTGAGAAATATGGATAGGGCCAGCCCGTGGGCCAAATAAAAATTAATTAAAAAATAAAAATAACATAGAGTATTAAAAATAACAGAAGTCTACACTCAAAATCTGTTTAAAGTTTAAAATATCACAATTTAATTACAAATTATGTTTATAAAATATGTGCTACGTAAAATAAAGTTTCTATAGCCTATGGAATATTATCATAGTTTTTGTGTTTTATTATGATCATTGGAAAATAATTAGTTTAATATTTCTATTTAGCTATTTATATTTTTATTTGAAATCAAACTTAATAAATATTATATAAATAATTTTATTTGTGTATTTGATTAACAAGTAGTAACACTAGTCGATATTTATGATAATATTTTTAAATTATAATTCAATTTAAAAAATTATAAAAAATACACTTTTAAGAAAAAAGGGTTGGCCCGGCAAAGCCCGTAGCCCACGCACTTGTGGGCTGGGCCGATCATTTTCTAGCCCACATAAAAAATGGGCTAGCCCACCCTGACCCGTCAAATTGCAAAGCTTGTATGAGTTAACCCGGATGGGGTGGGCCAGCCCATATTGACAACTCTAATAATAGTGGAGAATACTACACCGTCAGTTTCAATTTGTTTACATTTTGATACGAAAAATTTATTAAAATATTCTTTAATCTTTTCATCTTGAACATGCTCCAACGGATCGTTGAAATTAAAGAGTTAAAAAAGGAAGCACATTCTTTTTCTAAAACAAACTAAAAAGAATAACAAGACAAACAACTTGAAATGGAGGAAGTAGTAATTCCCCATTCTGAAACATTAAGATTCTAATTTTACACCTCAGAAGCGCCAATTAATTTTTAATTTTTTCCCTTTACTGTTTTATGCAAAATAATTATTCAGTACCAAATTTGGTATGTTTCAAATAGAGCTGTCAATATGAGCTAGCCCACCCCATTCGTGCTAACCCATACATGCTTTGAAATTTGACGGATCAAACTGGGCAAGCCCATTTTTGGTGTGGACCAAAAAATGATCGGCCCAGCCTACACGTATGTGGGCTACAAGCTTGCCAGGCTAGCCCTCTTTTCTTAAAAGTATATATTTTTTATAATTTTTTAAATTAAATTATAATTTAAAAATATTATCATAAATATTGACAAGATACTCTATTTTATTTTTAATTAATTTTTATTTGACCCACGAGCCGGCCCTATCCATATTTCTCAAGCCTCACAAATCAACAGGCTTATTCAGGCCAGACTAAAATGTCCTTTTCTTAAATGAGCTCCAAAAATCGTAGCCCAACCCTATCAAATCACGGGTTAATCCAGGCCGACCCAACGGACCTATCCCATATTGACGGTTCTAGTTTCAGAGAACAAAAGAGTAGTCTAAAAATTTGTGATAAGTGTCATCTGCGAGGTATAGACTTCATCTCAATTTGTATGACAGTTTTATTTTGGTTGTTCCAGAATATTTAGCACTTAAAAATAATAGTATTTCAATTCACTTCAAGAACTCAAATTTTATCAAAATACTTTTGTCATACCTCGTCAAATTCTACCAAGTCAAATCATATCATGTAACATGGGCCAGAGAAAGAGTATGACGACTTAATTACGAACAAGCACATTGTAACAACGACAAAACATCAGGAAAGGGCAGTTCGGGAAACAATGGTGGAGAATGGGGTTATTTGAAAAGTCATTAACAGTTGACTAAAGCAGCATGAAGAAATATTATTCAGGCAACGACAGAAGAGTAGACTTAATTTTGACACGAGGCATGTGTTACTCAATCCTGTTCAAGTTCCATACCACGGAAATGAATCATTGGAATTGGATGACGAGTCAGTGTAGTTAGGCAGTGCGCTCCTCCAGTGCCTAATTTGAGAAGCAGCTTGAACAACCTTCAGCCTCAGCTGTAAATCCTGCTTCCTGGTTGTATGGTCTCCTCTGCCTGTGCTAGCATCATTCTCATTATTTACAATTGAACTGAAGATGGTAGTCCAAAATCTCAGGAAGACCAAAACAGTTGTTTGGATATGCTGATATAGAGAAGATATTTACAGCATCTTATTATATGAACAAGAAGTCAGCATAGCAGTAATTAATGGATAAACCACTATAAATCCAATTGTTCATCTTACTTGTTCAACCCTGTTGTAAGACAGAGCGAGGATGGATTACTCAGAGACAATAACCCTCAACATGCTTTAACAAGGAAGAACTTATTGCAAACGGGTTATGCAACCTTCAGTTAGCCTTTACTCCGTGGAGAACCAGCTAAGCTGTTCTCTAGTTGCTAATGCTCTGTTCCACCAAAGAAAGAAAATATGGAAAATGTTAAGGGGGATTCAAATGGAACACAAGTGCCTTTTCAGAAGAGAAGCAATTTTTCTAGAGACATTTCAATGACATCAAGAAATCACTCAATGATGAAGTGTCCCATAGTGGTTGAGAAACTGGATGGTTGTCTCCTTCCATAGTCTTTAGCCCATAACTTCCATAATGTAACATCAAATTTAATTTTTTTTTCTTTATCCCACCCATCCCTACCTCCTACCCCGATCACCTACACCTCAAAAAAATAATATTGATGTCATTTTTCTTTCTTTTATAAATGAACTCATTTAAGATGGGTAATTTGAATGGATACCCATATAAATTACCTATTCTGCCATCCCTAGTCTTAGGCAATCTAACCTCATTAGCTAACTTTTGAGGTTGAGTTAGGATCAAAGTCTTATTCTTTTTTTTTTCCGCATGGAATCAAAGCCAGACCTATTGTAATTCTTGGTTTATCCAGTTGGACCCTTTCCCTTTTCATGAAGATTGATAAACGAAGAAAAGACTAGATTAATGAAGCTCCAGATGCTCTACTCCAAAGCAGAAGCGAATTAAGGAAGTCCAAAGATTGGTATTTAATATCAAATACTGACTCTAGAAGCAGGGGGAGTTATTTATGTGTTGCTCATCAATGAAAGGGAAAATCATTACTTGGAATATACAGTACAGGAAAAAATAAAATTAAAGCATTGATTCACAAATGGCAAGCAGATGTATACTGCTTTCAAGAAACGAAGATGGAAGGCAACATGGAAATTAAATCAGCCAGGTCGGCTGATTTGGCTCGTTAAGAGGTTAGTGAAGTCGAGGTAGAATACTTGTAATGTGCGATAAAAGGATCTGGGGGAGTGGGATAGTCAAATCAGGGACTATAAGCATCACTTGTAAATTGTATTCACTGGCAAATAACTTCTCCTGGTACATCACAGGAGTTTACGGCTCCAACTGCAGGATAGAAAGGCAGGAACTAGATTTGTGGCTGAGAAAAGAAGCAGTAACAGATACACCAAGAGAAATGTTGGACTTTTCCGAGGGAATTGAAGATCTGGAATTTGTTGACCCCGCTTTATTTGGTGGAACTTTCACATGGAACAAGGCCAACAATCTGGGAGTTGCATCAAGGTTTGATAGATTTTTATTCGATTGAGTGGAGATGTCCATTTCAGAAGCACTAAACAGTTTCTGCTTCCACGAATAAATTCTGACCATACTCTGGTATTGTTACTGTGTTGGGATTAGGAAAATACAAAGTCATACTTCAAATTTGAAAATTGGTGGCTAGAGGTAGAGGGCCTTACAGCGAAAGTGACAGGCTGGTGGGATTCTTTTAGGAGCAAGGTAAACCAATTACACTTTTGTTACTAAGTTGAAGATGTTGAAAGCTAAATTGAAGGAACAGAACACAGCCAATTATGGAAGCCTTCAAAAGAAGAAGACAGACTTACTAAACCAACTCACACAGTTAGATAACATACAGGAACAAAGAAGCCTTAATGATGATGATCTACTTGAAGGTTAATTTGGTGTAGTTTGAGAAAATTGCAAAATATGAGGAGACAACTTGGAGGCAAAGAAGCCTTAATGATGATGATCTACTTGAAGGTTAATTTGGTGTAGTTTGAGAAAATTGCAAAATATGAGGAGACAACTTGGAGGCAGAGATCCAGAGTGCTTTGGCTACAGCAAGGAGACAAAAACACAGTTCTTCCCGAGGATGGCTAATGCTCACAAGAGGTCCAATATCATTGACAAGCTGGAGATCAAATGGAGAATTAGAAACTGATCCTATGAATATTAGGAGAGAGAAATCCTTTCTTTTTATCAGAACTTGTATGCAGAAGCTTGGAGCCGCGATTTAACTGCATCACTCTGCATGAACTACCCTAGAATTACAGAGGAGGCAGTGGCATGGTAACAAAGGGCCTTTAAGGAGCAAGATGTAATGGAAACATTTTATTTTTTTTGAGATAATGTACTGGAAACAATTAAAATATGTGCAAAAAAAAAA